CCGCGCCCCCAGCCGAGCCCAGCAGCCGGGCCTCCCCCTGCCCCCAGGAGCCACCCCAGCTGCCTCATGTAGGTCACTCACCCTTTTCTCGTGGTTGGGGACGATGCAGCGGACGAAGCTGGGGTTGGTGTTGCTGAGCGTGGCCATGAGACGGCTCAGGGACTCCTTGTAGAGCTGCCCCACCGTCCGGAACATGCCCCGACGGGGGCGGCCACCCGGTGGGCCGTCCCCAAGGCTGCTCACCTGTTCCAGCCCCACGATGCCCTCCACTGAGGAGGAAACAGACGCAGAGAGAGTGGGGTCAGGGGTCAGTTTTAGGGAGCTGGGGTGGCCGAGGACAAGGGCTCTACATTTACGGAACCTGGCACTTTATGTCCGAGGCCCCCCCCAGCCTGGTAAGGCAGGTGTCATCCCCACCAGTCGGACAGGCAAGCAGGCTCACAGAAAGGAGGAAGCCTGTGCTCGAGGCCCCATGGCTCGGGAACTGCAGACCCAGGACGAGAACCCAGGCAGTGCAAGTGCTCTCAACCCCTGGCCCGATCTCTGTGTCCTTGGCAGTACGTGGTGGCGACAGGGAGCGCTCACACAGCACCTGTCCCCTGAGGGCACCGCTCCAAGCAGTTCACACACACTGACAGCGTGAGCTCAGTCAGTCCCACTTCACAGATGAGGAAACCGAGGCGCGGAGGGACACGGGGATGACAAGCCCAGTGCAGCTCATCTGAGGGACCCGAGTACTGGACACAGGGCAGACTCTTCCCACAAACCATTTTTCCAGAAAGGCTGTTCTGCCTTTTATCGCCACTGGGTGGCGCCACCCCGGCCAGTGGAAAACACTCTCCTTCCGGGTGGAGCTCAAGTCTATGCCCCGAGCCACCCCAGGTCTCTCCAGAACCCTCTGGCAGGCAATCTGGATCCCTGCAAAGCTCAGCCCCGCCTAAGGCTCATCAGTGGTCAATGCATAGGGCCTCAGATGGCAGGGCCTCAGATGGCAGTTTCCTCCCCAGGTTCAACTCTCCCCCACCTCATACTCTCAGTTAGTTTCAAAATGATAATAATTTCTTAATCTTTTAAAAAAGAATGATTTATTTCATTTGTTGTTATTATTTATTTTTTAACTTGACCAGAGAGAGAAAGGGAAAGTGAGAAAGCAAGCTGCCAGGTCCAGGACGCAAACCATGGTCAGTCATGTGGGAGTCCAGCACCTTAACCACCACGCCACCTGCTGGCCCCAATTTCTTAAGGTTTTACAGCCCAGGTTAGAGCTAAGATTCTGGGACCTGGGCTGCTGGGTTGAAACCCCAGCCCTGCTACTGCCCGACACAGCGTGACCTCAGCCAAGTGACTGGGCCTCTCGGTGCCTGGGCTCCCCGTTTGAGAGGGGTGCAGTACTGCCCCTCCTGATGGGTCATTCAGAGGGTCCGGGTGTCAGTGGTTATGACAGGGCAGCTCACGGTGAAACCCATACTCAGGAAATGCCAGCAGGTATTGCCACGCTGTCTGGGCCGCTACATGAGGTTTACCTTGGAAGAAAAGGTTCTGCCCTCCATGGAGGGAGAGGAGAGGGGAGGGCAGGGGACCAACATTCAAACCCGCCCACCCTCCCACCTGGCAAGCCTCACCGTCCATGTACAGAGACACCCACCCCCTGACGGAGAAAGGGCCGAGCTGCACCTCCCTGCAGGTCCTGGGGGCGACGGTGGGAAGGAGCCAAGGAAAGAGAACTGCTGGAAGCCCCCGTGTTCTGGGGAGTGAGGACAGATGGGGCCAGGGGTGGGGGGCAGGGAGATGGCAGGGAGAGGTGCATGAAAAGAGAAGAGAAGGTGGCAGGAAGAAAAAGAGGAGAGAGTTATTAGTCAACAGAACCGAGCAAAGCAGGAGGGACACCCGAATGTTGGCCATGAACTTTTAAAATTCAGTTCACCTTTGTGGCTACCACCTGCCAAGGGCACCAACGTTGGCTGGAAGGATGTCCTCTGTGAGGACTTAGTGCAAGGGGAAATAGTTAGGCATCTATGCCTAGAGGCCGAGTCTTTATCTGATATACTAGGAATCCCTTTTTGCCCTGGCTACCAGGAAGCTCAAGAGTTAACAGCCCACTCACCCTCTCAGAAGATAGTTTATCTCATTTGCCCTTTCCTTGGGGTACCAGGATGCTGGGTGCTCAACTTCAGGCTCAAGGCAGCTATAGAAGAGGCTGACGCAAAAATGGCCCCAGTTCTCCACCCTCTCGTTTTCACACCTTTTGCCAGTAACTTGCAGCTCCTTAAATCTGGGCTGGCCTTACAACTAGCTTTGTGAACGAGAACTGTGATAGAAGTGATCTGCGACAACTCCAAGCCTAGGGCTGAGGAGACGTTGCAGTTTCCAGTTCTCTCTTAGAATTTTTTTTTTTTTTAGAGAGATTTTTGCTATGGGCACATGCACTCGCTGGAGAGACAGAGAAAGAGAGACAGAAAGCAAGAAATCATACCCCAGGGAGGATGGCCATGCCACGATCCCTTCTCCTTCATTCTCCTCTCGGGATCTTGGGCACACATGCACACGTGCACTCACATGCACCTGGCATGAGTTTTAAGCTCCTGGGTCCAGGACTCGAACCACAGTCGACTACACAGGAGTCCAGCAACATAACCATTACACCATCTGCTGATCCCTCTAGGAACACTTTAAGAACCAGGCGTGCCCAGAATGAGACAACTGCGGGGACCCCTGGGGGAAATCACACGTCCATAAGGGGTAGATTTGCAGCCTGGAGTGGATCTCATCGCAGAAACTGGTTTGATGCTGTGTATCAAACACTGCTTTCCAATCCCTAATGCGTAAACCACAAAAAACGATTCCTCTTTCTAACATCAGCTCCCAAGATCAAAGTGTTCCATGTCCCTTTGCTCTAGGAGTCTGTTTGGGACCACTCATCTTGCTCATTTTGCTCCCTTGCCTAATTGCGCGGGCTGGTGCTTCTGTAGCTACACTTTCCATTTCCATAGAAGATTAAGGCAAACTGACAAATGCCAGAAACTTGGAGGCGGCAGAAACCAAGATGCCAGTTATTCTAGTTTTACAAAACTATCTTTCAATCCGTCCCCCCCAAGGGCAGGGGCAATAACAGGGCTTGGAAAGATGAGGGTCCTTCCACAAAGTCACCCGGCTCTCCTGCCTGAGACTCCTCAAGTGTCAGTCCAAAAAGCCTGACAGCCAGACTCACAAAACCATATTCCGGTCTGTTGTTCTTTTCGTATCTTTAGGGGCTCAAAGGGGGCTTTGTTAGAGTGAAGAAAGCCTGAAAGTTGCCTAACTTGTGAAACCTCACCTTTCTGAGTTCCTGGAGTCACTCATTCTTTTTTCAGTAGAATCTGCTCCTTGTTTTTAGGAAACATACGCCCTCTACAAATAACAAGTGTGCCTTCTCCTTTACAATATTCATATACAAAAGTTCATGGAAAATGCATAGTATGAAAAACCAATGCACGGATCAAAAAATTTTTTCTCTGCACCAAAGTAAACTTACTCTTTAATTCTATTTTCCCACAAACTTTGTGGGTTTTTTGTTTTTTGTTTTGTTTTTGCCGTAGGGCATGTACACTCACTGGAGAGAGACAGAGAGAAAAAGTGAAAAATCACCCTCTTAGGGTGGATGATCATACCACAACCCCTTCTCCTCCATTCTCCTCTTGGGATTTTGGGTACGTACACATGTGCCTGGTGTGATCTTCAAGTCACCAGGTCTAGAACTCAAACCATAGTCAGCCATGTGGAAGTTCAGTGCCTTAACCACCATGCCACCTGCTGGCCTCCTTTCCACAAACTTTCTGAAGTGTCCTTGTACTTATTTCTTTTTCCAGTCTGATTGCATGGTCTAGTATTGCTAAAAACAAGGACTAACAGCAGTGTTCGAGAGTAGCCATCCTTGCCTTGTTTCTGATTATTACTTGTGCATGAGGCTGGCTTCAGATAGCAATCCATCCATCCACCACTATTTGGAAATACTATTAGGTCATCAGCAAAGTCATGACATATCTTTCTGTGGTTTTCTGTGCAAAAACGCATCATGACTTTCCTGACAATCTCAATAATTGTGAGACTGTTCATTCGGGTCTAAGTGGACAACTTCAGTCCAGACCTTGGCCTCTCAAACAAAGGTGCTGGGTCCAGAGAAGGGATGCCCAGACCTCCAGGGACAGGGCCTGACAAGCTGGTCCTTACCATCTTTCCAAATCTCTGCTGTTAGCCGATCTGTGCTCTGGTGAAGCAGGGCCGCAACGTTGTCATTCAGAGGATCCATGTTTTTCATCAGCCACTCATTGGCCTTGTAGTCAACCTGAATGAGGTCAGACAGAGGAGGGTGATGACTTTAGGCTCACCAGCTCTCCTGTTAAGGATTTCCTAAGGAGCCTCAGAACCCAGAAGAGTCCCAGCCCTGGGCACCAAGGACCAGAGCATTGGTGCCACCTTGTGTCCATATCTTAAACTGCACCCTCCACCAGCATTGCCTCTACTCTGGCCGCACATCTCCTGGCCAATCCTGGAACCCGCAAGTGCCCTTCCCACCCTCTGCCTGCCCTCTGCTGGCTACTGTTACTCAGCACTGAGAGCAGGGCCAGCAAAGCAGGCCAGAGACTGCAGCTCTTTTTTTTTTTTTTAATATGTC